CTAAAAACAACAAATAAAAAGGAAACTTGTGTTTCTAGAACTATGCAGCATAAAGGACACAGACATACATCTGCTATTGCAAAATTATTGAACACATACTGAATATAGCATTGATGTTATTGTGTACCGGGATGATGCCATTACAGCTTAAACTGAGGAGTTATACACTCTTACTGCAGAGGGGATGAATGACCTACGGTAGCGCTGTGTTTTGCATCTGAGGTGTCTCAGTCTGCCTCTAAAGGAGCTGTCCATGGCTTCCACAGTGGGATGCAGTGGGTGGTAGGGGTTTTCCAAGATGGAGCTCATCTTCCCCAGCATCCTCCTTTCATACATCTCCTCAACTGAATCTAGTTGGGAGCCCAGAACCGAGCTAGCTTTTTTAATTCGCTTGTTCAGTCTCTTCTGGTCTTGGTCAGAGTTGCCTACACCCCAGCAGACCACAGCAGAGTGGATAACAAAGTCAACAACAGGGTGATAAATGGATTTTAGCACCTGGGAATTACCTCAAAAGGAACTCAGCCTCCTCAGGAGGTGGAGGCAGCTTTGGCCCTTCTTGTTGTTGGACCAGTTCAGTTTGCTGTTGAGGTGAACACCCAGGTACTTAAAGGTATCCACCTTTAAGCACCTGCGGACAGCAGTAGCTCAGGAAGTAGAGCGATTTGTCCAGTAATCGGCTCCGACCAGAGAGTGTCCTTGGGCAAGACACATAACCCGCCTTGCCTGCTGGTGGTGGTCAGAGGGACGGGTGGTGCCTGTGCTCGGCAGGGTAGCTGTGGCTACATCGTAGCTCGTCACCACCCGTGTGTGTGTGTGAATGGGTGAATGACTGATTGTGTTGTGAAGCGCCTTGGGGGGTTGTAGAACCCTAAGAAGGCGCTATACAAATACAGACCATTTACCTCAACGTCTGCACCTAGAACCACAGCACTCAAAAGTGAATCATTCACACACATGCAAGCACGCGCGCGCGCGCACACACACACACACACACACACACACACACACACACACACACACACACACACACGCATGCATGCATGCATGCATGCATGCATGCACACACAAATCATCAGCAACAAACCAGAAAACACAGCAAAGAAATCTAAAACACTTGTGTTATTGTTAAATGATCTGTTTTAGGATCTTGTGATTTGATTCTTAGAGTGGTAAGCACTTCCATATAAAACAAATAAAGATTCAGTTATGTTTTAGGACATAATATGCATTAAAATTATGGTTTAAAAGTAAAATAGTGTCATCTATTACAAGTTAAGAGCCCTTGAACAAAATGTCAAATAATTACCCTTCATGATCACAATCAATGCAATAATAAATTTGTTGTTTTTCCACTTTTCTCAAAATAACCTTCCCTGCCTGTGTGACTCGGCAAAGAAAGCTCAGGCTGATCATCGTCTCACACACACCAGCCTGGAAGTCATCCTTCTCTGTTTTGGCCTCAGCTAAAGAAAGCAGTTTGTATTTATAGACAGTTGTAAGCACACAAATGTTATATTCGTTCAGTGTGGTTCGGGTTATTTCTGGATGCCTGTGCCCCCTTGGTGCGTGTCTTTGTATGATCGACAACAACAGAATAACAGAGCTCTTTCTATCCCCAGAATGCGCCAGCACACACGCACGCACACACACACACACACACACACACACACACACACACACACACACACACACACACACACACACACACACACACAAGCAGGGGGAAAAAAGAAAATCATGGAAGCATTAGAGCATCAACTGTTGAACTCAACACAACCACTTCCTGTTGAAATATTTGGACACAAAAGGACACAGCAGTTTCCAAAATCATCTTTCTTCCACCTGAATGATTTGTGTTTCACCTGCTAACACGTTAGTGAAGTGAGGTGTGAAACCAAACCCAACAACAAAATGGGTCAGTGGTTCTCAGGGATCCAGCTCTCTGAGGATCCCAACATTGTTAAAACTTCCTCTCCAGTTAGCTGGGTCACACCAGTAGTTATTGTCTTTGATGCGCCTGGCCCCGCTCGCTCGGATAAGACACAAATGATCGCCATCAAACAGGAAGTAGGCCTGTCTCAGGGAGGAGACCACAGAGGACCGTCTGATTGTGTGTTTGTCTCCGTGCTGCTGGAGGGACCACGCCCAGACGTCCACCACACAGACAGGAAGTTGATCTGTCAGGATGCCAACAGGGTTTCCTCTGACAGAGGGAAGACGACTCGCAGCCTTGTTTTCACCCCATCATCCATTCCTTCTTCCCCTTTTCCTGTTTAACCCTCCATCCCTCGCTTTTTCTCCTCACCACAGAAAACATCCCTCCTCTTGTTATTGTTACTATCTAAAAGAGGGTAACCGGGCTCGAGTTGTGTATGTGAGCACCCCACCCATTGTGCCTCCTCACACGTACACCCACACCCACTTCACTCACCACAGTTACTAACCCCAAAACACCCACATGCTTTGTTGTTTCTTCTGCTGCCACCAGCCTGAGAAGAGAAACAGGGAGTGGAAGATGTGGTCGGAGGCCATTAAAGGACATGTTTAATGTGTGAATCAGTCATTTACTTTGTGTGTGTGTGTGTGTGCGCGCGCGTGCATGTGAAAATCATATAAGCTCTTTGAACGTGCTTAAAAAATGCTTGAATCAAATGATGGTGAGGGTGTTTTAAGCCTGTTTTTAAAGCATGGACATTGATTTATAAATTGACTGATTGATTGATTGATTGTGCCATATTCAGTTTCAATTAGCTTCAACGACTTCCAAGCATTTAAATCCAAGTACTTTCTAAACCTTGAAAACACCACATTGAGATTCAAGCCTTTTTAAAGGACTTCAAGCACCTGTAGGTCTCTTGTAACAATGTCATCCAACAACAGTTACAGCTGGTTTATTACAGAGCATCTGCAACAAAAACGACCAGGTGTTTGGTAGTTACCTGAAAGCCTGACGCTGAGCTTAGTTTCTGATCATATTTGAATGGCGTCACACTCTAGTATGACTCTAGTAGGACTCATCCTGCCAAAACAAATAAATAAATGAGTAAATACATTTGAAAAAAAAAAACATTTTTAAATGTAGGAATGATCCATTTTCACATGTATTTGTTTATTTGAACTTTTTAAAATATATTTCTAATTTTATTTAAACATTTATGTATTTATGTTTTTTTTTTGCTCAACTTGGCTCCAGAGAAAAAACAACTCAGGTTAGAAATCTTGGTGTCGTAACTGACTCAGACCTGAGCTTCTCTGGTTACATTAGGCTATGACTAGATCAGCGTTTTATCATCTTCATCAAAAAGCAAGACTCAGAGGTCTCATGTCTAGACCAAACCTAAAGAAACTCATTCATGCGTTCATCTCCAGCAGGCTGCGGGACTATTGCAGTGATCTTTTGTCTGGTCTTCCCTAAAAAGCTGTGAAGCAACTGCAGCTTACTCAGAAAGCTGCTAGAGTCTTAACAAGAACCAAGAGAACCAAACACATCACTCCTGTTCTTAAATCTCTACACTAACTTCAGAATTGACTTCAAAGTGCTTCCACTAGTTTATAAATCACTCAATGGCATGGGGCCAAAATACATGTCAGATCTCCCTCAGGTATATACGCCCAGCAGGGCTCTGAGATCCTTAGGAAACAGTCAACTGGTAGAACCCAGGTAAGACCCAAACAGGACAAAGCTGCTTTTAGCTACTATGCTGCTCACAGATGCTTCCTCATAACCTCAAATGTGCCCCAACTCTAGTAACTTTTAAAGCAGTCGAACATTTTCATGTATTCATCAACCTTTGAATGGTTGTTTTTATACTGCACCTTCTGCACTGCTCACCCTTTTACTTAAAAAAAAATCTTAAATCTGAAATTAATGAGTGTATTTAAATGTGCCGTCATGTTGATCTTAATGTTCATGCTATTCTTGCTAATGCAAAGCACACTGAATTGCCTCTGTGTATGAAATGTGCTATATAAATAAAGCTGCCTTGCTTCATTCTCTGCATTGATCGGATGACCTTTCTAGAGTCTGGTCCTCTCACTTCACATAAGCATCGTATCCAACTACAAAATCATCTGCATCGTGCCGTAGGCCTCGAGCACCCTCCGCGTTTATGCGCTGAATCACGGCTGCACCACCATGTTTCCAGCGTGTTTGTGCATCTTTTGTGAACATTTAACATTTTCTCTTTCACGTCACTTAACAGTTGAGGAAAGCCTGAGAGCCCATTGTATCGCTGACCTTCTGTGGTTTAGCTCTGCTAATCCCACCCTCACTGTATCAACAATCTGACCTCCCTCCATTTGTTGAGTAAATCACTCTCACATTTCTTTTCTAATCTGCTTATGGCCACATGCACAAACACAGACACACAAACATGCTCACACGCATAGAGAGGAATGAAAGTGCTCAGGCTGGAGGACTTTTCTACATCCCGTGGTGGGTTCATGGTGAGTGACAGCCAGCCACCAACTCAAAAAGAGAAGGATAGGAAATGGGTCAGGTCTATCATGTTTTCAAATCTTTATAGCCAAAATTGTACCACTTTTTTGTTCTTTTATTATTATTTTGAAAATAAGAAATTATAATCCTTATTAGAAAATGATGGAAAAGAATAAATTCTAAACATCAATTTATATTTTAAAAGGTACAAATGTAAAAAAGGTCTAATCTGAATATCTTTTACAGTTAATTTTTCTACTTCAGCTGTTTTTTTTTCTTCCACCTTATGTTTCACTGTGGTGTAATTAGTCAAAAACATCTAATAAAAATAAATAACGAGAAGAGTAATACAGTTAGGCAAAATCTAAAAGTTATTTAGAAACATGAACGAACAATTTGGAAGCTCTAAATAAAGTTTGTTTGGACTTGGCTAAAACTCCGCAGGTGATGATTTCTACAGACAACTTGGTTCCTAACTGGAGTTGACAATGAAGACGCTCCTTTACGGAAACCAAACAGCACAAAGACAAAAGCGAACATTTGAAGAAGTGCAAGTCCAAAGTTAGTTTAAAAAAAGTTTTATTTTGAGATCTCAGAATAAATTTAAGATCAGTTTGTTCTTTTCGATGAAACAATTTAAGAACTAAATAAAAAAAAATTCATCTCAAACATTCAATTTACCACGGCGTAAAAAACAAACAAACTATACAATAATAATAAATTTCCTGTAGCATGAAACATCTGGGGTGGTCTCTTTGGTTTCAACACTAAACATACATGATAATCTAAGATAGTCCTCTCACTTGATATTTGACACCAGCATCACTCTTCATCTCTTTACTTATTTAAGCTTTAAAAATGTTTCCTTTTTAATGTAAAAAATTAGACAAAAATTTATCCTGAGATAAATCAGAAGCTTGGGGGCTCATTTTAGACAAATCCCAGAAGGATTTTCCTCTGAGTGACACTGTGAAGTCAGCAGGTTATGCCTCCTGTTAAACCCCATTTCTCATCCTACTGCATCCTTTAGATAAACAACCCCAACAGGCTCCTCAATAATCAGTTTGTTCTGAGATCCGACCCCTTTTGCCTGTCATCATGTCTTTCCCCATCCTCTTAAGTCCTTCCTTCTAATCCCCAGTTCCTCTCCTTGGGGTTGACTCGTATTCATGGAGCTGATGGATGCGGCCATCTGAGAGGGGACAAGAAATTATTAAAACTTTTAAAAAAGGTAAGAAAAAAATTGCCTTGTGCCACTCTGGTTGTACCTTGGAGCCAGCTGGTACCGTCCTCTGTAGTGATTTGAACGACCTCTGGGTAGCTTCAGACATCGGCTCATATCTTCAGAGGAATGACATGAATAAAAATCTTGTCCTCGTCCTCTGTGTCCTCCTCTGCCCCACATTCTGTCTCTGCTTTTATAGACATTTTGGCCTCTTCTTTCCCTCCATCCCCATCCACGTTGATGTCCTCCTGCTGTTTCTCCTCTTTGTCTCCAATCTTCACCAGAAGAACCTGAGGGTGAGAAAGATGCCTGAAAATGAACATCTGGCACCTCAAACAGAAAGATCGGACTTTTTTTTTTTTTTTTTTTTACTGTTGGGGAAAGAATTTGGACATTAAATAAATAAATAAAAGATCTAAAGTTGTATTGAAAAACGTTAGGCTCTTTTTATTTATCACTTGTTTTTACTCTCTTAATGAGTATTACGGTAATCAGACTTGTCTCATTAGCTTAAAGCAAATAGGACACTGAGTGAAATAATAAAAACATTGTGATGTCACAAATCATCTGGCTTCTCGTTTACAAATCTGTCTGAATTTCATATTTCAGCCAGAATGTGCGTTATGTGAGATTGATAGCAGGTTTAAAATAGTGTAAAAAAGTCTTCACATGAAATTTAGGGGATTAGAGGTGTTTTAAGACGACAAACATAACCGGTCCCACTGTGATTAAAGGAGGAATAGGAGGTTTTTCTTGTCGTTCCCGCAAGTTGTTTGAAAAATACACAATCTAAAGGTCCAACCCACTTCCTCACTCTAAACCACGCCTCCGGTATACAAGAACATGCACTGCTTCTTCCTGAGGATTCAGTTTCACATTTTCAGCCTGTTGTTGGCACCTTATTTGCCTTTATTCCAAACGTAACACACCTTCATAACCGTATAACTATTTATAATGCTAGCTGATGTAATATGGTGTTTATTGCTGAAAAACCAACCAGTGTTCAGATTTCTTGCTGTATTCTTAAATTAAAAATCACAGCAACTCAGTGCCACCAACAATCTGGGAAACCCCCCGCAAAAGGAACCCAGCCCACACATCCTCAGACTTGCTCTCTCTTTGCTGGCTCCCCCCACACACAAAAACACCAGTTGCTCTGCCAGCCAAAAGAGGACTGACTGCGTTTACAGACAACAGGTCCGTCACATAAACGTTTCCCAACAAGGTCAGAACCAAACTAAAAGAACACATAAAGCAACTCCTTACATGAACTTTGTAAACGACAATCAAAATGTAACATTCTGTTTGTTACAATAGCTAGACCTACTCTGGCTTCACCTCCTGTTTAAATGCTCGAAGCCAAGAACACATGATCCATGCACAAACAGGGGTGTGAGCAGAGGGTGTACGGATGGCCAGAGGGCAGTTTGATACATCCAGTCAATTAGAATGGGATGAGCACACTGATTAGATGAGGTTTATAAAATTATTCCTTTTTTTTTTTTTGCAAAACATTTACTTGTTGAACAACATTTCATACCACACCTTTAACTATTCTGTCTGGGTAGAATTAATCACCGTTTCCCCAAATTGAAGTTGTTGAAGTTCAAGATAAGTTTTTCATAGCAATTCAACAGAACCCCACTTCAAAGTTCCATCAGAAGTTATTTAAAGTTTGCAAAAAGAGCTTCATTAAACCAGGGAGACAAACCTTTGTATACAGAAGCCTTCTTAAAGCCGACATGCTCCAGTCATTCTAATAAGCACCTGTTTTCTCTCTTAGATGCTCAGACAATGTCGGGCACCAGAAACACAGCAGGAGGAAAAAGGAACACACACTTATAAACACTGAGAAATGGCAGAAATAATGTTTTATGAAGCTCAGAAAAAAATAAAAAAGCCACACAATGAACATGATTGTTTTGTACTGATGATAATCAAACACGTTTGTCCTGAAATTGGTTATCAAAATGATTAACTGGCAGGAACGGACTCTCTGAGCTCGTTTAGTTTCTTTTTAAGTCTCTTCCAGCAGAGCAGAACAGCTTGTAACGCTAAAGGAAAGCAGCCAGATGGGTGAGATTTAAGCCAATTAGAAAGAACAGAAAATAAAACATCCAAATCTAACTTTAGATTGAACCAAATGAGACCTGCTAAACAAAATCAGGCCACCATACACAGTCTGAGCGTTTCATTACTAAAAAAGCACACGTGCTAATGCCAAGTTTCAGTAAATGAGATGTCAGTCGAACCACAAACAGCCAGGGTTTATTTTTTATTGTCTATTGCTTCTTTAAAAAAAAAAAAGAAAAATGTCAATAAAGAAACTGGAGACATTAGAGCAACATCCCTGCTCTCATCTCGTGAGTTGTTTTCTGCTCTAAACATGCACGAGTATTTTTTAACTTTCTAAGCAGAAATAAAATGAAGAGATGTGGGAGAGCAGCTATTCTGGATTCTCTGTTGGAGTGTAATTGCGAGGGCAGACAGGCAGAAGAGATATTCGCTGAGGAGACTAAACATCAGGCCTGATTCCAAACAAAAACCCAACTGGGCTCTCAGCGATACCACATAGCGCCACTGCTACTCACGCACATACGCACACACACACACACACCATTTACCCGCAGCTCTGTAGTAATGATTGGTGTCTGCGTCCAACAGAAATGAAACGCTGAGGTACAAGGACCTATATCATTCATCTATAAAGCCAGAAGCATCCTCCGGAGACCCACATAGGTTGACTTGGGCAGAAAGCAGACAGTTCGGTGAGAATGTGAGACTCTGTGCCAACATGGCACACAAACAAATAAATCCCCACAAAAGAATCAGAAGATTTGTAGCAGAGGAGAGATTGTGATGAAAACCATTCACCCAACCTTGAGAAGTGTGAGAAGACAACTAACTTGTATGTAGGGATGTGTAGCTCTTACAATGGCACATGAAACTGAAGAAAAAGCAGAGAATAAAGGAGATGAAAATAAAAGCCCAAAGAGGGGAAGGGGAGCAGAGAGAGAGAGGAGGGGAGTCTGCAATCAGTTAGCCTTGTTGTGTGTCTTAAAATAGAGCTCTCCCAGCCTATAAACAGAAACCTACTATTACTGCTGCACTGACAAAGCAGGTCTCCACCAATGTGTACACACAAGTGTGTGTGTGTGTGTGTGTGTGTGTGCGCGCACACACAACGGTATGCATTACAGCCACAGTACACATGGACTTCATTACAGCCTTCATTACAGCATGGCCCTCTGGGTAATGTGGTTCTGTGAGGAGGCCAATGAACTACAAATAACTGTCAGATTATTAAAAAAAAAGAGTCTTCCATGGAGTGTTTTTGTGTTTCCAGGAGTCAGGCGTCTCTTGTTTTAAATAAAAATGTTAGATGACAAGATACAAACAAGAAACCCAGGAAGAGAAAAATGGCTTTGACAACAAAGAGTCACATCATTGCAAAAGAACATGGCGGTTTTATGTTAGGCATCCTAACCGCAGCATCGCCAAGGCGTCCTAAGAGCAGCAGCTCATTTTTTAAATCCAGTATGACCCTCGAGACAGGTTAAAGGATCAAAATACTTTTTTCTTAAAGACAAACAGCAGCATAATAAACGTGAGAAAATAAAAGCATATTCTTACATTTTTGCATTATGAAAATCTTTAAAAAAAAAAAAAGAACCAGACAGATACAGACAAGAATATCCGCTCACGGAGGCGTTATTTTCCCTTGATTTGAGCTGCTCTCACTAATGTTGTTTACAATATTGATGGTATTGTTTCTATAGAGGAGCACGGCTAAGTAATGTTTGTCAAGGGCACTGCTGGAATGCAAAGCATCAATGATCCAATGACACACAACAAAAAACTAATTAGATGGTTTCTATTAAAGCAACTGATTCAGGTACAACGCCTGAGTGCTTGTGTCTGTCCCTACCTCCAGGTGAAGGGCTCAGACTTCTCTCTGGTGCCCTGGGTCTTGACTGCAGGGCTCGGCTTCTCTTTCTGCAGGTTTCTACAAGTTTCTCCTTCAATAGAAGAAACTGGGAAAGGCAGGACGGCTGGGAGGAGAGGCAGGTGAATTCAGGTAAGAAAAGCAAATTCTACACAAATAAATATAAAAGAATCAGTCCATAAATCGACTGTTACAGCAGAGGTCACTTTTATCTCTTAAAATGCGGACACAACCAAAGCCACGTTTGGTTGCCCTGCTTCACTCACATCGTCGTCCAGCAGCTCGTGTTTTTCCACGCCTCTGTGTGCCAGCAGATACTTTGAGTGGAACAGCCTTCCGTCAAAGACATGCCAAGGCATCAAGGCAGCACTGGGCAGTGGGCAGCCGCTGGCATTGTTAGCACCCAACAGGTGGCTGATTCCTCGGACATACAGAGATCCCAGCTGCACGGCACGACTGGAAAGGAGAGGCAACTGAAAACCGAAAGCGTTGTTTTAGTGTCACATTTCTGTAGAAGCACCTTTCCTCAAAGGGTTTTGTATTTATGCTTTATTTTTGTCCGGTTGTGAAGAAAATATGAGACCAGAGATATGTTTCACTCTACGTTCTAGCTAACACTTATATATAAATGACAATAAAGTCTTATCAAGCTGATATCACACAGCCAACGGCCCATTTAAAGTTTATTTTGTCATGTACACGCAATGAAACATTGGTTTACATGTAAAACATGCAAAATGGTGTGAAGAAATGTTTTTATATTTCAGAGGATAGTGATGATGTAACAAAGTTTTTTGGGCCCACACAAACAAACAACCAATCAAATGTCTTTATTTACAGGAAACATGTAAACCTAATTTTACATCATGTTAATATTAATCACTCACACACTTTCTCACACACTTCATTTTGTTCAAAAAACGTGATCTACAGGTTCCACATGGTGGGAAGCAGCAACCAGATGAGGTATATCAAAGTTGAAATGCATTAGTGAGCTCCTCTTGTAATAAATATTTACAAGCATTTGACACATTTTAAATAGTTTTAATTATGTTTGTGAAACTTGGCCTAAAACCCGCTGATCTGTAGTAAAAAAAAATCCTAGCTAGCATCAAAGCTAATGCAAGAAACAATCTAGGCTTATCAAAGTCAGTTAGGCTAATTGTGTTCGAGTAATTACTTTGTTTGTTGACGATTCTAGACAAAAAATATATTATTGAAAAGCCTGATTATATACATATACAGCATGACATTACTTGTAAGGATTGTACACTGGTGGAATGAGCAACGACGTGTCTAACATGAGGGTAGCAGTCCCTAAAAATGTGTCAAAAACAGCTGTAAAATTATCCTGGAAACACTTCACAATAAGGGTCTATTTATAACATTACTTAATGCATTACTAAGCAATAAAAAACAGAGGGTCCATTTATTAACATTCCCGGTACTGTTAATGACAATTTCACGTCTGAGCCAGCATGGACCAGACTGACAGCTTTTAAAGTGTTCACGTCTAAGTAGCCTTGTATTTTTCCGAGCTCAACAGGTCGATTTTTCGACCCTCATACCAAGCAGGTCTGCTTCGGGTTGAACAGGTCCAACAAACTCAGGACTAACTGATTGGCCATCTCAAATTCACACCTACAATACTAGCGAGAGCTTCCCGCACGCGTGATTCATTATCATTCTGGATACTGAAAGTAAACGTCGCCCCTGACTGAAGCTGCACTCTCTGTCTGTCTTTTTCACTGCAGTGAGGAGCACACACACACACACAGACACACACACGCTCACAGCTGCCTTTGTTTAAGGGAGACACCACAGACTTTTTGCTCGGAGATTTTCCGGTTCCCGAGAAGTGTGTGTGAACAAACCCTACCGGTGCAGGACTCGGACCAATGCCACCCAGCCCCGACCGTGCTGGCCTAAATGTGAAACTGCCATATGTTTAGCTTTATGTTAAGGTCTATGTTAAGGTAATTTCTATGTTATGGTAATGCTAAGATAATGTTAAGGTAATGCTAAGGTCTATGTTAAGGTAATGTTAAGGATTATGTTAAGGTCAGGACAAAGGGCCAGGGGATGTCTGCTTAGTAATGTAATAATAATGGATAAGCAGTTGATAATACTTTATTAAATTGTTTATTAATGCACTAAGTAACATTAATAATGGGACCTTTACTGTAAAGTGTTACAGAATCATTGATACAAATAAACAAAATAATATATATATATCATATTGTAACGTCCAGCAATGGTCAATTTAGGTACAGTCTGACCTTTCAACATCTATTCAACATCTGGTCAGAAAGGAGACACAACACTGCATGTGTTCCTTTTAAATGAGTCTGCCTTCATACCAGCTGGGACTCACAGACTCTGCAAGTCTGAAAGATAAACAATAACTTTCTTTCCCAAGGTCCCATCTGTCTGCCTCCACAGAAAGAAGAGCTCCAGCTCGAATCAATTGCTAAATTCAAGAATGATTTCCTAAATCAATATGAACTTCTTCCATGACTTATAATCTAGATAATCATTAAATAAACATTTGTTTATTACTACTTATAATAATTATAGTATAATGAAATGCTTCATTAATCTGTGCTCACTGAATGGATGTTATGTTATGTTTGTCTACTAGAAACTGCCATGTATTCAACATGTTTTGACGATGAGGTCCTCACACCTGCACTCACACAATAAGAAGTAAGGTTGAGTTAAACTCCAACACATAGAGACTTTTAAACCAGTCAGAACATCCTGTATCAATAAGGTGTTTTTCTGAGTTAGAGCAAACCAAATTCTCTTCACCAGAACTCAGCTTACTTTGATAAGGAAGCTCTGACTGACATCGCATTCACACATAGGTTCCTTCATCACGTTTAGTTACATCCACTCACCATCCACTCACTAAATGCTTAGGTAATTAGTCCTGTTTTAATTGTTTGCTAAATAAATCCTTACTTTTATAAACCTGACTCTTGAAGTAACGCAAAGTACGGTTGATCACTGAAAAAGCAAAGAACCTAGATCTTCTGAATTAAATCCTAGAATCTTCTGAATAATTACAATAAAGACCTAGCAGGTTAATATTTTAGATTTATATAGAATATTACATCTTCCTGGTCATAACAAATAAAAATCATCGATTTGCCTACGTGACAATATCTATTTCATAAATATCATTATCGCGATTCTTTAAAACACACTTGTCATTATTTCGGGGGCGATATAGCTTACCACTACTACACACCAATAACACCTGAGCTGCACCAGAATATAAACCCAAATCCCATCTGTTTACTTCGTACCACCCATGGGAAATTCCTTAAAGCCTCCCACACAGTTGCAAAATGAATCAGCATTTCTCAATCCCAATTTGCAGAACAGACTCTGCCCAACCCCAACACATAAATCAACCAATTTAATCAACTCAAACCACCCACTTTGCAGTCCTGTCCATTGGCATATAAAATAAGTCTCTTGACGAGTCAATTTTTGTATATTTAAGAGTTGGAAAGATGTGGTGTAGTGGCATTTTGCACTATATTCAAGTTCTACTTATGCGGTTGTTTTAAAACTCTTTTTCTTTATTTATATCACCAGCAAAAAGCTTACAGCTCTCATTCACATTCTTTAATAAAATAGCTGTTGCCTCTAGTATGAAAGAATGTCTCCGGAGTTGATTTCTGTGGATAAAAAGCTCCGGCGCTCCTGTTTCTGGGGGTAGAAGTTTTTTGGGTGGGTGCAGGATTACTCATTAATATTAATGAGATGGAAAAAAATCCTTGCGTCTTATTGGCTAAAAGCAAAGAGACTCTTTTGCTGCCTCTATTTTCTCTTCTTTCTTGGGTAATACTGCAAAGCTGATGTTTTATCTCCACAATTAACACAAGCCTGAACATGTACCACCATGTTGTAGAATGGCTAATGCTAACAATTAGCTACTAGCTGAGACATGGGTGTTTCTCAATGTCAAGGCGCCTGGCCTTGCGAGGACAGGTTCCTTGGGGCAACAGTAGCTCAGGTGGTAGAGCGGATTGCCTCATGATCGGAGGGTCATGGGTTCGATTCCTGCTCCCGCCAGGGGTATCCTGCTGTTATGTCCCTGGGCAAGACACTTCACCCAACTTGCCTGTGTTAGTGGTGGTCAGAGGGGCAGGCGGCGCCAAATGGTAGCCTCGCCTCTGTCAGACCTCCCCAGGGCGGCTGTGGCTACAAGTAGCTTACCATCACTAGCAGTGTGTGAATGTGAGAGTGTGTGAAAGCGTCTTTGGGCGTCTAGAAAAGCGCTATATAAGTTCAATGCATTATTATTATTATTATTATTATTATTATTATTAAGAGGACACTGTCCATCCTTGGTCAAAGAAAATGGTTAAATGGAACAGACTTGCATCACGTGACCGCGGCTTCCACAACGGTCACGTAGCGTCACGTGACACGGGAGACAACATTATATTTTATACGTATTAGTTTCAATATAAATATAAAACCTTTTACTTTTTAAATTGTGTATATGTTTATTAAATTAAAAATATAAGTGAGTTACTACCCGCTAGCCATCGAAGCTGCAACTACTAAGCAACTGCCCAACAATAGATTACTTCTTTGGATCTAAAAGAACACTTTATCCTCCTATATTGATCATATTCAGCTACTGGACAATCTCTCCTGATGACCTGGCTGCTCGCTACAATGAACAGTTAGCTCACATTTTAAACTCCCTTGCTCCAGTTAAAACCCGTTCTGTTACTTTCTGTCAGTCTGCTCCCTGGTTTTCCCCTCAACTCCGGACGCTGAAAACCAAATCCAGGCAGCTTGAACGCCTCTACAGAAAAACTGGTCTCACCATTCACAAAGAACTATATAAAAATCATATGACTCAGTATAAGGACTTAATTATACTAACCAAACAACAGTATTACTCCTGTCTAATCAACTCCATTTGAGGCAACACTAAGTCATTGTACTCCATTATCAATAAAATTCACCGGCCATCCGATACTCTGCCCCCACACATGTGCTCTACTGCTACTTGTAATGCCCTTCTTCTGTTCTTCAACAAAAAATAATAAACATTCACCGTGCAATCAACCAAAGCATCCCCCCTACCTCCCCATATGATCCTCCCGAACCAACACAGTTATTTTCCATTTTCCAACTTCCCAGTGATTCTGAGATATCAAATATTATCCACAAGTCAAAGCCTTCTACCTGCCTTCTCGACCCCCTTCCCACGGCCTTGGTTAAATCCTGCCTCCCCTCCCTGCTCCCTCTCGTCTCCGCTCTCATACACGCATCCCTTTCCTCCGGTATTGTTCCCTCTATCTTCAAAACTGCTGCAGTTACTCCAATACTTAAAAAAACCTGGTTTGGATCCTAACATTTTTACTAATCTCCGCCCCATCTCCAACCTACCCTTTGTCTCCAAAGTTTTAGAAAAAATAGTCGCTACCCAGCTCCACACCCATCTGACATTAAACTCCTTCTATGAACCCTTCCAGTCCGGTTTCCGCCCACTTCACAGCACAGAAACAGCACTCCTCAAAATAACTAGCAATCTCCTCATTGCTGTTGATTCCGGTCTACTATCCATCCTGGTCCTTCTTGATCTGAGTGCGGCCTTTGACACAATATCTCATTCCATTGTCCTCCATAAGTTATCTTCCATCGGCATTGCTAGCATCCCACTTCAGTGGTTTCAGTCCTACCTATCAGGTTGCACTCAGTTCATTACTATCAAATCCTCTCGCTCACAGTCCTCTTCTGTCTCTTCTGGTGTGCCCCAGGGCTCTGTCCTGGGGCCCCTCCTTTTCATTATATACATTATTCCCCTTGGCAATATCTTCCGCAGATTCAATATTCATTTTCACTGCTTTGCGGATGACACCCAGCTCTATTTGTCCAGTAAGCCAAATTTTGCACTTCCTCCCTCCTCACCTGCCTTCAAGAAATAAAATCCTGGTTCAGTTTGAACTTCCTGAAATTAAATACAGACAAAACAGAACTTCTTTTGGTTGGTACCAAGAACACCCTCTCACAATTTGACAGTTTCTCTCTCACAGTTGACAATTCTTCAGTTTCCCCCTCTCCCCAAGTCAAGAGTCTGGGTGTCATCCTAGACAGCACACTATCCTTCCAATCTCATATCAATAGCATCACACGGTCAGCTTATTCCCATCTTCATAACATTAATCGTCTTCGCCCCTCCCTTGATGTCCACTCTACTTCTATTCTTGTCCATAGTCTGGTTACATCATGTATCGATTATTGCAACTCTCTTCTCTCAGGCCTCCCTCAGAAAACCCTCCGTAAACTCCAGTTGGTTCAGAATGCAGCAGCACGAATCATTACTAAAACTCCCATCCCTCATCACATCACCCCCATCCTCAAACAACTCCATTGGCTACCAGTGCACACCAGGATTAACTACAAGATTAAAAATACCGTGGCGTATTCTGGGCAATTTCTGACCAAGGCTAGGCTACGAGACACCTCCCGTGTATCCTCGCTCAGCTAGCTAAACGGCTAACAACCAGAGAACACAAGCCTCGGTAGAACATGAACAGTGGAACACGTCTTGGCGGCTCCCGATGACGTATCTCCTAGGCAACCGGGGCGGGGCCAAGACATCAAAGCAAGGTTCCTTGGCATTGAGAAACACCCATGGTCACAAGCCAAGGTGGCTATGAATGCTAATATTTCTCTGTTACGTAAAAGTGAGTGGCTTTTTCTCACTCAATCGTTTTCCTGCTCAGATGTGCCTGAATCAGGAAGAACAAGTCAGCTGAAGTAGAAAGTAGCTTCAGACGGCAGGATTTGGAGCCTTATTTCCTGATATTTGGACATCTCGCCTCGCATTGGATACCAGCAACAAAACTCTACCAACTGTGCCAACTGACTCCAACATTGATGTTTTATCTCCACAAATAACACAAGCCAGAAGGAGTTCTGCTGTGTGGTGGAGTTGCTAATGCTAATGGTTAGCTTCTACTAGCGGAGTCGTTCTCTGCTGTTTCCTGGATGCTAAACCAACACCAGCCTTCCCCGTCGTGAGTAAAGATGGGCGAATGTTAAAGCCCCATTCCACAACTTTTACACCTTAAATGTTTTTGTAAATGTTTTGGCGGCATACTAGTTTATTTATGTGCTTGTGTAGCCGACAAACAGAGCTAAAACACGTTGTTTTACAAGTATTATTCTCAGGTGATGTTGCGTTCTCGTATAATTATATTTTAGAGACTTACTTGTCTGTGAAAAGTTCATCAACTCTGCATCAGCCAAGGTACGTCCTTAAATTTGAAGCATGTAAGCGGTAGTCTAACGCTATTGGCTAGTTCTGGTTGGCGCTGTTTATATTGCACGGAGCTCTGCGGGGAAGGGGGCGTGCTTAGCAAAAAAAAGACTTATTGCTTATATTATATCACAGTACATGAGAAGATAATCACTTTTACAGATTTCTGAACAATCAAACATCATTTCTGAAAGGGGAAAACTCAGGAAAGATTTTTCAAGTGTGATGTCACTCTGCCAGGCTTGCCAAATCCTTAAGATTCACCATCTATTTTCTATCAGAAGCTAATGCAGGGATAGGTGTAGGACACCATTTTCATGTTCAGCCTGCATGAAAAACTCAAGTGACTGACTATAATCAGAAAGAATTGTTTAAAAATGTGTTTTCAGTGCTCCACACCTTTAATTTTGGCATCAATCTGAACGTTGAGGAGGAGATTGTGTTAAATATAAAGAGGAAAATAAAATTTTGTTCCACTAAACAAAGCAGTTTCAACTTATCTTTACAATTGTAAAACACACCAAGTTCACTACAGATACTATGAATGCAAAATAAACAGATATACTTTTCATTCTGAGAGAAGAAGGAGTTGTAACCGGAGGAGTCAAAAAAAAAAAAAAAAACAGCTGCAACATCGGTCAGGAACAGCAGGCAGATGTGCTCTGTGAATGTGTGTCCTCTCTCACCTGTCCTTTAGCAAACAGCACTGATAACAGTGATTACACATCTACACACATGCATGCACACACACACACACACACACACACACACACACACACACACACACACACACACACACACACACACACACACACACACACACACCATCCAGCCTGCCTGCCACCTGCTTCCAGTCAAACACAGCTTCATCTTCTGGAAACAATGGATCGCTGAACTGAGACACAGAAGCCTAAAGGCGCACACAAACAACACACTGACACAAAGAGCGGAGGAAACAAGAGCTGGAGAGCTACATGAAGAGAAACACAAGCAGAGAAAGTGGTCAGATGTTAAAAGTTAGAGAACATGAGAACACACAAAGGCCAGAGACAAAGACTGAGATGTGTCTGTGTGTGTCCGTCCAGTGGGGCGGAGTGTGTGTGGTGTAAATAGCTCCATGTGGTGAGGGCCAGCCAGGACAGACAGCCGACTGTCGCCAGCATACCCTCCCTGTCACACACACACACACACACACACACACACACACACACACACACACACACACACACACACACACACACACACACACACACACACACAAACACAGAACACACACATCAAAATCAAAATCCCATGAGGAGGAATGCTGGAACTACCTACAAATAAAACTTTTCACTTTCTCTAAAAACACACAGTTTTATTTATTGTTACTTTGTAAAACAGAAACACATTTTTAGTCATTATTGTGATAACATTTTTTGGTGACACACACACTCACACTAAATAACCAACCATTTTAACTCTCTCACACATTCATGTGTGAGTTTGTGTATTTAATCTGTACATTAGTAACTCTATCAAAGCCCCTCCTGCAACTCTGAGTCTCCTCCAAATCAACGCCCAGATCTAATTATTGTGTAGGAAACAGACAAGCAGCAAAAATACAAATTACTTCACATAAGTATGGTAATTAAGCAGTAAAAATAAATGGGGCTACCAAAAAAGGGAACAAACACAACGGCTGTTTTCCCAGAGAATTAGAAAAAAAAGAGCACAGCTGACTGCAGAAATCTGTAAAATTCCAGCTGAAACAAAATCACAGTTTCTACAACTAGTTTCTGATTTCTGATTATAAATTTAACCATAAAGCATCATCAAAAGGGAATATACTAAAAAATAAACCTGAAAACATAACATATTTGATGTCACACAGTAAAATCTGATTAGTTCAGCTTACTAGAAAAAAATAATCCAAATCGAATAATTATGTGGAGCTACTAATACTTACAAAGCAAAATAAACTTAAATACAAGTAACTTTAACTCAGACAAACTAGTACAAAGTACTTAGAAATGTTTTTACTTAACTAGTTTTTCTGAATTGTATATACTTCAGTAGTAAACTGTAAGCAGTTTTTTAACTAGGTTGTACAACTTAAAACTACATTTAAGTGTATTTTACTTTGTGGGCATTAGTAGGTCCAACACATAATTACCTAACGCCGTGTGCTTTAAGTGTATATAAGTTTTAATTCATAATGCAGCCGCTACATTTTGTTGTGCCTCTCAGACATTTTTATAAAGCTGTCCCATGAATTCTTAGAAAGTCAGGAGCACATTCAGGTTCTCCTCTGGTTCCCTTGACTTTCTATTAATGGAAGTTTTTTATTTTTTCTGAGCTGAGGACTTTGTTTACTGGAAACAGCCGCGTACATTGTCTCTTTGGGAAAACAGCAAAAGTTTGTGACAAAAACAAGAGGCCAAAAAAAAAAAAAGAGTCAAAGAAATATTTGATATGTTTGAGAGCTTGTGGCTGAGACAAACCTTGATCTGCTGAAGCTCCGGGGAGGATTTCAGCCTCTGACAGACGGCCTGACTCAGGTACGCATCGACGTCCTCTTCGGACAATGTTTGTACCTGAAACACACACACACAAAACCGCACGCGCGGGACCGCGCACAGCTCGTCATTTCAATCGCATCCCCGCGTTGGGTCAGTTTGTTTGGTCTGCTCGCTGCGGTACGAGTCAACAGAAAACGAAACAATGCTGACAGCAGAAACAAAGCGGCCCAGTTGTGAGCAAAACAAACAAACCCTGAAGTTATTTAAATAGAGTGAGAGGGGAATGTGAATGCCGTTGTGAATAATGATCAGACAACGGCCACCATTGTGTGTCAGACTGTCTGCACATCTCTGACTATCTACTCGCCTAATAGTTTGTTTGACAAGCTGCTCTCGTGTCTGTCTGTTTCTCTGTCATCCTTTTAAATCAGTCTGAAGAAAATCAGCGTCTGTCTGGACTCTGAATTGTCACTCACTCAGCTCTATTTATGCTGATTCAATTAGAGAATTACCTACAAATCTGAAAGTTCAACCATCATAAAGCAACTGAAACTCTGAACTTTTGGGGTCAGAAAGTTCAGGTTCGGACTGTTCAAAATGATTTTATTGTTTAGTCATGGAGTTTGTTTTGGGTTTTAAACAACTAAAAATAGAAATACACTAATTAAGAGCCAGTTTAGGGATAATTATATTCCTTAAACCAAAAACAACTTATTTAAAATAAGTCTAAAGTATTTTTTGTTTGAGATCACATTTTTAAGTGTTTAATTCAAAATCTCAGAAAAAAAGCATGACAACTTGTTTTGGGCCTTTTTATGTTTATTTACTTGGCAGACGCTTTTATGCAAAGCAACGTACAATTTATAACCTATAGGGCATGTTGTGATCTGTGGGGGAAACCGGAGTACCCGGAGGAAACCCACGCATGTATGGGGAGAACAGCCGAGTTTTGAACCTGCAACCTTCTTGTTGCAAGGCAACAGTGCTAACAACTGCACCACCATGCAGCCCAACGAGTTTTTGTTTGAAAATATTTAAATCAGAGAGCAGTTTAGATATTTATCTACAGTGAGGCCAGTAGCGCGTTACTTAATGCGTTACTCTAAAATGACTACTTTTTCTAGTAATGACTAATCTAACGCGTTACTATTTCCATATCATTAATCAAATTAAAGTGATTTGTCCAAGAATCTATGCATAACTGGTTACTATTTACGCTTTGATTTGCTAAGTTCAGAATGCTGCTGCTAGAGTCTTAACAAGAACTAAGAGAAAGGAGCACATCACTCCTGTTCTTAGATCTCTACACTGGTTACCAGTAAGCCACAGAATAGATTTCAAAGTCCTCCTACTAGTTTATAAATCACTCAATGGTATGGGGCCGAAATTCATGTCAGATCTCATTCCTGTATATACACCCAATAGGGCGCTGAAATCCTCAGGTAACAATAAGCTGGTAGAACCTCCGGTCAGAACCAAACAGGGTGAAGATGCTTTTAGCTACTATGCTGCTCACATATGGAATCAGCTCCCCCAGGACCTCAGATCTGCACCAGCTGAGCTGGTCCAGCTCTAGTGTTGTTTAAATCAAAACTTAAAACCTTTGAATGAATTGTTCCTTATACTGCAGCGTCTCCACTGTAATCTGTGACGTAGTTGCTCAACCTTAATTCTGTCTTTTCCTTTTAGCTCTAAATTATAATTTTATCTGTGTATAATTCTAATTTGTGTTCTCCTGTTTAATGAAAGTGCCATTTAATGCTAATTGTAAAGCACAATGAATTGCCCCGTGTTTGAAATGTTCTATATAAATAAAGCTGCCTTGCCTTGATAAAGACAGCAAAACTAGCGACAGGAATAGCAAGATGCGTGTAACCAACAACTGCAAGTATACTATATTCAGAACAAGCAGAAATGAGCTACTAAATGATGAACAAATCCCATTCCTTGGAATGGAACCGCTACTCTCGATGCAAAATAACACCAACCAAAAACAGCACCACCAGAACACTGTTGGGGTTCTATTGCTAGAGTTGTGTTGGTTGTTTGTCTCTTGTGTCGACCCAAGCTGAGAAAGCAGCCCACCAAGACAGCGCCAGAAGGCCAGATAGGCCAGTCGACCCCTGGGCCCCGGTGCTGTTGGGCTTTTCAACATTGTGTCTCACAGTAATCTTGGCTTTCAGTGTGTTTCTTCATGCTGGATGCTAGCTTTTTGCACACTAATACTGCTATTGGCACAGCAAAACTGATTGCTACTTTTTATGTTGAGACAATGGGTTTAGTCATTGGCAGCTGCTGAAAATAATTAATAAAGCTACTTCAACTCTAACTTAGTTACTTTTACCATAAAATAATCAGTAAAGTAAGTTACTCTTGGAATGAGTAAGCATTAGTCAGTAATATTATTTCAAGGTAACTGCAGCAACACTGTTTATCTTAAAGGTAGATGTCATATCGTGTGATTTTCCAAAAACTAACCTAAAATGATGCATCATGTGCTATTTGTTGTTATTTTTGCAGCAAATAAGACACAAAATCAAGAATTTGTTTGATTTTGAATGATTTTTTTTAACAGCAGCTTTAATCACCAATTATAACAAATGTGCAGAAAAGCTAATAAATCAAACTGAAGTCTAATTTTTGTTTTCTTTGACAATGTGACGCATGCACGTTTATCCAGGTTCTGTTATCTTTTGATCTCGGCTTTGTTCAATCAGATGATGCTGGTTTAAAGTCCAAAATGCACAAATCTCTGCATCTCTCAAACGCAAAAGGCATTAGTTTAGAACAAACAAGCACAATAAGGATATTGAAGTACTGAGTTAAATTTAAAAAACATCTTTTTAAATAAGCAAAGCCGTGAGTTGATTATAAGGCTTTCTGCTGACGTAATAGCTGGCTCTCGGTGGCAAATAATGGTTACTGTCAGCCGATGGCAAAACAACGCAGAACAAAATGTCAACAGAACAGCGTTTGATTTCACATCACGTGTTGACAAAAGAGCAGAATAATTGTTGTGTAAGCGTTAGCGCCGTAAAGCCGACCTGAATGTACAACTGTCACCAAAAAAATTTGGTCTTTCATTTTCTGCTTACATGAACCGACAGGTGTATTCGTCTGCAGCAGGACATATTTATCAGAGCCTACGACAACCTCAGAAACCCACAACAGACATATTCATCACAGCAGAGACGTCAGCACCTCAAAGCAGCCATCATTCCCCTCGGGTTTACTAGAGAACTGGAGCTGTGATGATTATTTTAAGTGTAACTGTGTTTTCAAGCCAAATCTAATCACTATGCTTGCATTTTGTGACAAATATTGTAACGTGTGACTGAGAATGATAAGAAATAAGTCAAAAATTAAATGATCAGACATGTACTCATTCTAGGAGGAGTGCATGCTGTCAGAGGTGACAGATCATTTGCTGCTGTGGCCAACAGACTCTGGAACTCTCTTCCCCTGAGCCTGAGACTAGTGGACTCAGTGGTCTCCTTTAAAAAGCAGCTGAAAACTCACTTGTTCAAGCTGGCTTTGTGTGACCTTCATCACCACCCTCTCCTTTTCAGCTCTTTCTATCAACTCCACCTTTCCTGGGATCCACTGATTTCCCTCTCTTTCTTTCCTTACAATTTTATGCACTTTTTTAACTATATCTTTAAATCTTAAAAAAACAATCTTTTTTATATGTTACATATTTTGTTCTTGTGAAGCGCCTCGTGGTTTTTATCTTGAGAGGTGCTGTATAAAAGATGGTTTTCTTTCTTTCTTTTCTTTTAAACATTTTTTAAATTTCTGCTTTCTGTATTCTCCAATTCAAGCGTGACCCTACCTGTAGGACTACGTATGTGATGAGACAAAGCGCCCCCAAGAGAGAGTCCTCAATCTGTCCGAACAGTTCAGAAAACTCGACGCAGTCAAAGACTGACAGGAAGGCTGTGAGACGAAGAGCAGAAACCTCAGGACCAGAGCTAAACCACAACACGTCCAGACTGGGGTGACCGCCTACGAATGAAGACAGTAGAGAGGACAATAAAGTATATTTGCTACTTTAAAGATTCATTGTTTTATTTGCTGTCTTGTAACAATATTGGAGCTTTTCTCCCTTAATAAATGAAACAATCCTCTGAAAACAAGCTTTTGTGTTCGTTCAGGTTATTTTGAAGTAAACAAACAGGTACGGTACATGAGATGTTGATGGGGACAGGATGAATCATTTCAGGCTCATTCAAAGGGTTTCCAGGGTAGACGAACCATTCCCTGATGGCTGGATTCTCCAGGGAGTTGGCTGGAATCAGAAAAAAAGTCTAGGTTTAACTTAAAGAGACTTGACACCATTGCAAATAAGAAACAGAAAAACAATTCTCCAAGCAACAACAATACAACAAACTGTCACCCCTGAGGAGTCGGTTCGTATAAAATTAGCTTATGTGATATGAAAGCTCTTCTTCTACACTATTAAATGTTTCCAAAACAACAAGCTTTATGTTACCAGAATGCATGTAAATCTGTTGTGTTTGAGTGTAAGCATTAACACGTGTTCGTTTTCTTACCATCTGGCCCGTGCAACAGCAGCAAGCCATAGATGCGTTGTCTGCAGGGCCTGTAGACGAGGGCCTGAGGCAGCAATTCCTCATCCTCCTCATCCTCCAGAGAGTTGCTGCATTCAGTGACTCCAGCACACACAACACAGTAAACCATAAAACCCTCTGCTGCGACATGTTTCTCTCTACATGCCTGTGGAAAACCACACAGAGAAAATCTTTCACCATTCTGCGATTTGTTATGCTAAAAATGTGCAAGACAGTTTCCAGCTGAAATGCACATTATATTGCACGTACCTTTAATATTTCCGGACTTACAAGCTTCTCAAAGGTTGCAGGAGAAGCTGAAACATCAACAAACTCAAAGCTTTTTTGTCCAGGTAACAAATAGGAGGAGATCCCCTTTTTTAGGAGGTCTCTTAGAGGAACCGGGGCATTCAGAGACCATGGAACAAGTTCAGTTTGTTCCCCATCAGGGCTACGTAGAGTGCTTACAAGCCGGGTTACAGCCAGCACCACCTGGCCATGAGGAGCACGGGAATATGCTGCTGGACTGGCTCTCCTATAAACATAAAGCCAAGATGTTTGATCACATTTAAATATGCATTGCAGAGAAATCATTTACAAATCCACAATAAAATCCCAAAAACCTGTAAGTTTCCACGGCACTGTTCCTGATCTGGCGTACATGCTCTTCTGACACCACATCATTACCAAGGAGACAGGCCAGCAAAGGCAGCTGCGTAACAGCCAGTCCGATGGTTGTGCAGAGTTTCTGCCGGTCGTACATGACAGTGGTCAGGCTGTTGATCTGCAGCTTTGCCACGGACAAGTAGGGGGCACTTAAGAGATGAGATAAAACTGCTTGTTTACATCAGTTTGTCAACACTTATTACTGTCATCTTCCACCTTAATCAGCGTGAAGTACAAGCCGGTACTTAGCCCATAACTGTCATTTTGCAGTCGATAAAACCACTTTTAAAAACCAAGAGTTACAACGTCGCCACTTTTCCAAACCTGTCATATATGATGTAGTCTGAGTCCTGTCCCAGAATGCCCATGCTGTCGTGCTGACGAGCATAGCTGGCAATCTCATAATCCGCCTCCCGTACTGAGCAAAACACTTCCTGACCCAATGACCTACAAAAAAAAATAAAAACGCCAAATGGATTCAAACCTCTTTGCATTTTAAATAAACATTGAAGCACTTGAAGAAAGACTGTCCTTGTCACAGGTACAATAGATTTCGATTTACCTGAGGGCAAAGGGTGTGAATGTTGCCAAACCAGATGGCAGGCAGAAGAGCTCTTTCCCAGGCTGTTCTCCGTATTTCCTGATGTGGCTGAACACTTTTGAAACATCCTTGTTTACTCTAAGTCGTCTTTTCACCTGTGAAACAAAAATAATGTTGTTTATGGGTAAAAACAATGGAGATGAGAGTATCAAATATCCACTGTGAAAATCAAATAAAGTTTGAGCATTTTAAGTAACTTAATGTCTGTGCTCACCCACTCTTGTCTTTTCTGATGTTCTACTACCCCATCAAAGAAAAAGACCAGTCTGATACCTGCAGAGGTGAAGGTCTCCACCCAGCTTCTAAGAACATCTACATATTCCTTCCACTGGCCCCCACACACCCAGTCCTTACCGAAGTACCAGTGACGGAGGCAGCACATGCCGTCCACTACAAGAGTGGGACCTGTACAGTACAGAAGAATCCTTCATGTAACAACGTTTTTTCCTAAAACCACTACAGCCTGATGTGCTGAGGAAGAAAATGTAAGGTTTATTTTTTTTAATGTTTGAATTTTCCACAGAAATTTTCCAGTACCGTTTCAAATCAGCATTTTTGGCAGATTAAAAAACAGAGGACAGAGGAAATGGGACAGAATGAATGATGAGTTAAATTCCTATTAAATAAACCTTTAACCATCCATCCATTTTCAGCCGCTTATCCGGAGTCGAGTCGCGGAGGCAGCAGCCTAAGCCGGGACGCCCAGACTTCCCTCTCCCCAGCTACTTGAGCCAATTCTTCCGGGAGAATCCCAAGATGTTCCCTGGCCAGCCGAGAGACATAGTCCCTCCAGCATGTCCCGAGTCTTGGGTCTCCTCCCAGTTGAATGTGCGTAGAAAACCTCACCAGGAAGGCGTCCAGGAGGCATCCTGACCAGATACCTGAGCCACCTCAACTGGCTCCTCTCGACGTGGAGGAGCAGTGGGTCTACTTCGAGCCCCTCCCGGACGACCAAGCTTCTCACCCTATCTCTAAGGGAGAAAACTCATTTTGGCCGCTTGTATCCGCAATCTCGTTCTTTCGGTCACTACCCAAAGCTCATGACCATAGGTGAGGGGAGGAACGTAGATTGACCGGTAAATCGAGAGCTTTGCCTTCCGGCTCAGCTCTCGCTTCACCACGACAGATCGGTACAGCGCCCGTATGACTGCAGACTCAGCACCAATCCGCCTATCGATCTCACGCTCCAGCTTTCCCTCACTCGTGAACAAGACCCTGAGATACTTAAACTCCTCCACCTGGGGCAGGACCTTGACCCTGACCTGGAGAAGGCATTCTACCCTTTTCCAACTTGAGATTACACTTTTTACAGTAAATAATTTTTCCATAATAGTTTTACAAGGCCAGAATATGCAAACAGCATATACACTTCCACTGTCACACTGACTACGCACTAAAATGAACTCAACTGGTTATGTTAGCTGTAGATGAGCAGCCTTGATGGTTTTTGGCAGCGTGCTGCTTGGCCATCTCTCTCAGGTTCACCATCACACAGGCCTCTGGACAGCAGCGCTCCATAAAGCTCTCAAGACCTTTTACACCCATTCCTGCTGAGCAGAAACATGGTAATGCCGGCAATCAAATAAATACTCAGCAGCCAAAGACAGTAATTAAAGCTTAATTTGTTAAGCCTTAATAAATTTAAATGCATGTTTCATTTATAATATTGTTTTTATAATGTAGTAATGTGCTGTGTTTTAATGCTAGTGCTTTTGGGTCTGTTTAGCAGTTACCACAGGGAATCAGCTGATAGTAAAATGTTATTCTGAGAAAATAAAAGATAACAAATTGAACTCATTTTCTATTCTCAGTGAGCTAATAGCTAAAACATGGTGCCACACCAAGTGTTACATTATGGTGTTTTCTGTTATAACCCTATAAACTATTATAGACATGTGACTGCTTTCTATCAGAACATTTAGAGTTTTCGTTATCTTTAAACATCTCAGTTGGGAGGAACATCCCACGTACAAGACAGCAGTTATATTACTCGATCTGTGACATTGTTTATATGTGTAATCCTGGATTAAATAATTTATGAAACATCTAAACAAATACACATACCAGTGGACGCGTTAGGATGTAGTAGTTATTGTTGACCCTAATATGTCACGTTTGTGTCATAATTCCTTTATGGGGTATAACAAACAAAGCTCGAAATCAAAGAGAAACCATGAATGCTAACTGTTAGCTTCACTGTTATCCGGTCAAGCAGCCGCTCTAAGCCGCATTTTCTGTCCATGAAAACAAACGAGTAAAAAACAAAATTGGGTCATTAGTTACCAATAACGTCACATTTCCCACGCGTATTATTTTAAACTTACTTTTACAGCTTGAAGAGCTTGTGCAGTATTTGTGCTGTTTACTTGACCAGAGTTGACTTCCTGTTACCTACGTGCTACGTCACCACGTTAGAAAAATAAAAGCACGTGCTCAGTTCGTTGCAAGGTTGCAAGCAGGTTTATTGCACGTTTTTCAGATGGGCTTTTTAAATCAGACGTCCATATTACATTTTTTCATCTAAATTCCCATTTTTATGTCCAATAGTAAAACTATCTTCTCTACAGTCAAAACTGTTGCTTAAAAATCTTCATAAGACAAACATAACGCTCCTTATTTTTTTATTCTGAGCTTTCAGGTTCACATATTCAAAACAACGTTCTTCCTATTGAGTATGAAATATGTAAATGTCTGTAATAAAAGTCATATTGGGAATGACACATACTTTATGTTTAGTTATGTAAATGTTAATTAGTAATTATTCTTTCAACAGAGAAAAATAAATAAAGGTGTGGAATCATGAAGCAGAATAAGAAGTAGGGGTGAAGGGGGTATTGCCAAATCTGGTATGCCAAATGAAATTAACATTTAATTGGTCATTGAAGATTCAGAAACAACGTGATTGGCCAATATCACAACAGACCTTTTGACTTACTGATGAAAGAAATGAACACTTCATTTAGTGAGGGCTGCATTCCACTTCAGAAGCTGTGCATGCTGGAAGTTCAGTAAAATAAGCACCTGCCATGAAATACTGTAGATCTTATATTAGATTAACTTAATTGCTGATGTTAAACATGAATTTCTTCTGGTAGAAATCAATTTCAGGCTTTCTGGAGATGAAGGCTTAATGTAACGAAAGTGGTGTCATTTATTAAAGATGCACCAAAACACTGGACTGTATTTTCTGGGATCAGCCAATATTCAGTATGATCATCTGAATCAATGCTCGGCCAACCTGAAACACAAAAATCTGATTAATTTGGTTTATTTCAGCCTAATTGCAATTTTTTTTTAAAAATGGACATTTTCCCACTTCCTGAACTAACCGTCACCTAATAATTATTAGGAATGTTCAGACTTTATTTTGACCTAAATTATGTTAAATACTTCAAAAAAGAAACTGGAAGTGTGATTTTAACCGTTGTGCTTCCTGTCCAGTGCACATCCACAGCTCTGCGCAACAAAAGCAAGTTTAAAACAAACATTTAATTATATGCAGAGAAATGTAACTTGAGGGGCCGTTCTAACAAATACACTTTCTAAGTGTCATGAATGAGAATGAAGGATTGTGGTTTTCAGTCAGTCCGCATAATACCTCTCCAGGAGAGGATAAGTAATGGTTTAATTGCTCTCCAAGATAATGGGGGCTCCTCTCTAGAGTCGCAAGCTAGGTCTACCTTCTCAACACAAAGCAGCCCCATTCTGTTCGTTCTATTGTCTGCACAAAGCAGTAATAAAGAAAGGAACATATGCTGGCAGTCAGTCCAGCTGTCAGCATCTGTTGTTTCTCAGCCAGATGTTCTGTTAAGAGGGCGGACAGTCCTCTCAAACAACGGGTTTTCCCTCTGAACAACATCTTAAAGGAAGGAGGAGCTGTGCTGTAAATCTTTTCCAGCATAATTCTCAGTCGCTGATAAAGGAAATAAGAACCAAACTCATGAACTTGGTTCTGAGATGACTAAAGTGAAATTTAATATTTTATTTGGAAACCCATTAATAAGAATGTTTTGCTGTCTTGTTGAAACAGCAGCTGCTCCGACCACCTTAAAACATCAGCGTTGAGTGGTTCAGTACCTAAGTCAGTTTTAAAGACTTCAACGATGTCTATTTTATTCAAAATGTTAAAGAGAATATTCCTAAATAATGAAAACGAGTTTGACCACGTCACTATTTTCTATGACAAAAGCTGTGCAGTGGAGAATATTTAATATGTGAAAATTGAATATATGTTCAAATTTGAGGAAAAAGTATTTTACATTGAAAGTTACTGAATTTTTACTTCTTTAGATTTAAAAAATGATATTTTTCATCAAGTTTGAGTTTGAATTCATGAGTTTTGAATCACAAAAGAAAAGCACACACCTGGATTTGCACAAATCCATTCATGCCCCCAGCTCCACACCCACCCCTCCTCAGAGGCTTAAATCTCAACAATCCAGCGTCTCATTCACGTTTCTTTTAGTTTGAGTCAGTTGCCTATTCATGCTGGATCTTTTCAACTTCCTCCACCAACTCTTCCTTATCCTCTTCAATCTTCTCCCCTCCGATTCCCCCTTCCTCCTCTCCTGACCAAAGCTTGACTCGGGAGCATCAGGGGCAGATGTTTCAGGAGCACACGACTGCCCTCAGCTCCTCCCCACCCCCAACGCCTCCCATTTGTACTGGATCAGCAGTTAACCCCCGGAAAGAATTGACCATACAAGCACGCACACACTGGTACAAAGAACACCGCTGCCCAAATCTGTAAGGGCTCAACAGTTGTCCAACTGAATGAACAACACACACACACACACACACACACACACACACACATGCACACACCAAGCGCTGTCCAGATCCCCTCAGGTTTCCTGATAGTAGCCACCCGGGGGTCAGGCCTGGTGTCACCGTCCAGGACCGGGGGTTTTTGTGGGCAGCTGGTCTGGATAATCCAGCTGCTGGAGGCCAGTGCTCCTGAAACTAAAGGCCAAGAACTCCTGGAAGGCGATGAGGCAGGGATTTCCAGGATTTGCATGTTTACTTGCTTGTTTTAACACTGAATGTGGTCGATCACACGACTCAAGTCAGACCATCAGGGATTTGACAGCTGATACTTTTTTTGTAAATGGAATCTAAATAAAGCAGTGTAAAATAATTTACACCCTTAATGTGAAAGGAAAATAAAAAAGTGGATTTGATGGGATATTAGACTATTTACACAATGCATGAAAGTTATTGTCGCTCTCCGAGGCTGAGCAGATGGTGTAAAGTCGCTACACTTATGAGTTGGGAGGGGTGCCTCGGTTCTTTGTAGCTCAAATGGGCGAGGTACGTCTCGAGTTTCTAACCTGATCACAGAGCTGTTGTTGCAGGGGAGACTTATTCATAACACCACACAACTCCTCCTTTATCATTATAATCAGCATTAGAGAGATCCCCCCTCAGCATGCACCTGTCTGCTTGTCTATGTACGGTGCTGTGCAAAAGTCTAGAGCCATCCTTCATCTTACCTCCAAAAATGACAATGTTCTTGAGACATTTTAATGGGGTTTTGATCAACTGAAGGTCAGTTAAAGGACTTTGGGTTTTGGCAGCCTCCTGTTCATTTATTCAGGACCAGTGACCAAAGTAATGACAAGTATTTTAAATTGGATTGTTAAGAACAACAAATGTGTTTTCCCAAATCTTTAATCAAAGCTATAAATATTACCAAATATAGAGCACATTAACTTCCAACACATGTAAAGCTGATTAGCAGAATATACCATCTAGAAACAATAAATACATTAGAAAAAAGGCAAAAAACAATAATTATCAACACTGAAATGATTAACAATGTAATTATTAAAGAGTTATTAGCCAAAATATTTGGAATTCAGTAACAAGTAAATGAAAGAAACACGCATCTCTTCAGTCTGAGGTCTTAGAAGAGGATTTTCTGAATGTTCATTTGCTGAAGCTAGTTTTTCAAACATGAAACTTATTATTCTGTCCTCTTTTTGTGCATTTTTTGCTTTTTTAATTAAAAAATTTAAAATCAAGTGATGTTGAAAATGGACTCACTCATCTTGGATCATGACAGGGAAGTAAGTAAGCAAACATGTAAGGAAGGAAGGAAGGAAATAAGCAAGTAAGGTTAATGTATTACTTATCACAGAAAAGAAAATCACAAAGTGCTTCACAAAGATCAACAAATAAATCTTGAAGTCGTAAAATCATCCTGAAACCAAATTAACAAAATTTTATAAAAATAAATGAAAGATAATTAAAATCACAACATGCTCTTATACAGAAGAATAAAACACAAACCATTTATGTGACAGCAGAATTAAATAAAATGACAAAGATTTATCACCCAGGAAAGAGCAGAGCACATTTCAGCTAGTAGAAGCTAACTGTTAGCATGAGCAACTCCACAACACAACAGAACTCCTCCAGGCTTGTGTTATTTATAAAATAACATATAATAAGTATAATATACATATATAAAACATTAACTTTACAAAGCAGAGTCCGTGGTAGAGTCATGTTCCTGTTAGCCAATCAGAGACAAGATGCATATAAATACATAATAAGACTCCGAACTGCCGTCTTTGCTCACCTCTCTTCTGGCTGACTTTCACTTCCTGAAACAGGAGCGCCAGAGCTTTTTCCCCACAGAGATCGGCTTGCAGGGCATTCATTTATTCTTAAGACCACAGCAGGTGTGTTGAAGAAATAAGTGAACTTGGTCTTTAAACTTAGGCAACAAATTAGGCCTGAATCTTGTTGATCCAGGAAAGGCCATCAAGATATGTTTAGTAACAATGTGTCAGTGTGTGTGTGATGATGATGATGTGGAGGTTCCCACGATGGCCATCCATCCTTTTCTTGGCACACACACACACACACACACACACACTGGCCATATGGCCATTTCATACCCCTGCATGCCACCACTGTGACTTGGCTCTAAAAGCATTTGGCATCTTCAACTGAGGGACAGACATGGAGGAAGAGGATGGCCTACAGATGGAGGAACATCAATGCGAAGAACAAGCAGGAGACGTTATGTACAGTCTATGGTTAGACCAGATACAGAACTACTGAGCCAGTATGGAGCCAGTGATGAGAGAAGCCATTTGGTGGTTGGTTGGTGTTGTGGTGTTTGGTGAGCAGATGGCCAGGGCTCGAGGAGGGGCGTGTCTTGTCCTCGCGACCCTTCACAAATCACAAGTTCTCCCCTGAGGGGCTCGCGACTCGCCGTTCAATAGGAATCAATAGGAATTACTTCACGAGAGAAAGAGATGAATGGGCGGCGGGGAGCAAGATCTCTCCTTTGTTCTTCCGCTGCACGTCGTGGTCGTGCGCGCACACACAGACAAACACGAGCGCGCATGCACACACACACACACACACACACACACAAACAGGAAAGCACTTCAATTGAACAATCAAGCTTCAGTTAAACAGTTTTTAGTCCCCATGCGCATCCACGTAGCGCGCACAAACTACGTGGGATCAAAGGGGAGGAGTTTAAGCATCTCCTCACATAAATTATGTTTTGGGGGAAATTGTCGTCTTGATGTTGAATGAAAGGGGTGGGGTCACTTTCCATCTCACATGCCTTTCAGTCACGCTTTGCTGGCATAATTGGGAAATGTGCGCCACGTCATGGTGATGAGTGACTGGTGGTAGATTGGCTTGGAGAAAAATAGCTGCAGGGACCTCTGGAAGTCGGGATGAGTCCCAATGAAAGGCTTCAAGAGAGGGATTTTCCGCCATGCCACTCTGGTAGTGCTGCTGATTATTGACAAGGGGTCTGAAATCAGCTGTTGTAATGAAATGAGGACAGCGTCCTGTCTCTGTGGCAGACAGGCAGGGATAATAGTGTTAAAGCTTAAGGTTAAAGGCCTTTCAATCGGTCACGTGGGGTGTAAACAGCACTTCACGGACACCCAACCGCATTACGGCGCACCGGCTCAGGGGGATGGCCCAGCAGGGTCAGAACCACATCAGCACGGTAGTGTGTTGACACGTCAAGCTGAAAGTTGTCCATATGTTAGTTGTGGTTCGTGAATGAGGGCCTTGTTTGTGAACAGCAGCAGCCTCAAAGCAAGTGATGCTATGCAGCAGCTTCAACTGGAGATGTTAATTAAGACCCCCCTCATCCCCCTCCTCGCTGTGTGTGTGTGTGTGTGTGTGTGTGTGTGTGTGTGTGTGTGTGTGTGTGTGTGTTGGTATGCATAAACATTAGAAGTGGCAGTTCTCTGATGCGGTGCACTTGTTCCTCAGTGGGATCTGCTGTGCCAACACGTTAATAAATAAATAATTCAGAGAGGAGGCCCTCTCCGCGGATCGCTGCTGCGTTGCTTAAGGCTTCGGTTGATTGACAGGCGCTGCACCAAAACACCAATTAACGCTCCCGACCAATCAGAGACTGTTAGCATCCTTTCATTTCCTTTTTTTTTTGGGGGGGGGGGGGGGGGGGGGCGCTCACACTTTTCACACACTTTTCATGCGTAAAGGGAAACCAGTGGTTCTCGTGTTGAGGTGTGCTTTGTTATTTTTGCCCTAATAACTCAGGATGCAGCAACAGATGCGCGCTGATTTTCGAACATTTGAAGCTGCTTAAACTCACAAGTGCGCATTTTGAACTGACTGATTAGCATCCAGGACATTTATCTCACGTGTCATAGCTGATCAAAGCGATTTTTCACAATCAAAAACATAAGATTACTGTTTGTGCAAGCCCCCCCCCCCCCCGGGTGTGTGTGTGTGTGTGTGTGTGTGTGTGTGTGTGTGTGTGTGTGTGTCTGGTGTTGTATTATTGTGGGAGAGCAGGTGCTGCCGACCCAATTAACATACAGCTGAAAGCACAAAGAGAAAAAAAAGTTTACTCCCTCAACGAGTCCCCTCCTCCTCATCCTCTTCATCGTCCTCCCCCTCCCTCTCCTCACAAAGTCTCTTAATGACAGCCACGCGAGTGACACACCACCAAGTCTTTTTTATTACTACCAAAGAGTAAGTTATAAGGAAATAACAGAGGCATGCAATGAGATGTGCTGAGGTTTGTTGGCGCATGGATGCGTATTTACGCACGCAGAGCATGGTTTTCCCTGCTTGAGCCCATAAAATTTATCATTTTAAATTACATGTAAACATATTGGGTCATGGGGTGATTTTGGAAGCCATAAATTAAGTAGTAAAGAAGCGCATCTCTCATCAGTTATAACTGGATCAGAAGGAAACGGCATCCATCAGGCAGCTCTGTCATTTTTACTTTTATCAGATCAGGAGAAAGATGAAAAACACAGAAACTATCGACTCATTGATTGCGCACATGATGAGGTCTAAAACGAGCAGATCGACTTGTTTGGGGGGTGGGAACATGCAAGAAAAAAACGGCAGCGGTAACTCCATAGGAATGCAACTGAGCAGATGGTCGTTAGCGGAGTTGGGACGGCTGGCCAAGCCAGGAGCGGGTCAGCCAAGACTTTACCATAATAATCTAAGATATGAGGAGCCACCGTCAGACTGGCTGCTGTGCATAAATCTCCCGACAGAGTTGAGGATTCTGTTCGGAGGTTAAAGAATTTGTCGGAATGTAAATGGGCCCCGTGCATTATGGAGGAGGGAGGCATCAGGGGAAGCAAGGGGTTGTTGCACATTTAACAGCTCACTGGCCATTTGGTTCCCCCCCCCCCCCCCCCCCCCCCCTTGAGAGAAAAAAGAGGGAGAGAGAGAGAGGAGGGGGCGGGTTTATAAAAAGTTTTTGCCCCCCCACCCCACCCCCCACCCCCAACCCCCTCCTCCTCCCCCTCTGTGATGGCCCCGGGGCGGACTTGTGATGGAGGTGGAGGGAGGGGAAGAAGGGGAGCAGAGGGGCTCATTTGCATCTTATTACCCGTTGCCTGCTGGCCTCGTATAAAACTCTGCGCAGTGCAGAAAACCCATCAGACTAAACGCACTGACGCACCAAGAGGCGCAAAGACGAACGGAGACTTGTTTTCTGTGTTCAGGATATGTTTTGAGCTCATTACAGCCAATCATCTGGAAAAAAAACAACATCATCAAGAACTCTGGTTGGAATTATTGTTTCCATCAAGGATTTCATTCACGCTTCTTGAAGGAGGATCACCGTTCTGCTGGATTTTACTCTTCTTGGCTATCTGAACGTTTGATTCATTCTCCCAGTGACTCTTCCTGTGGAAAAGAGGGACAGGTGACAGAAACCACAGGAAAGGTTTCACCTCATCATCACCTTTGCGCGTAAAAACCCTCGACTCTGACAAAGGAGAGCTTTTAAAAACTTTCTCCATGATTATTTGAGGACCGTGGAGCTTTCGCCGCTTGTTGAGGGGCTGTCAACACAATGGGACGCCTGTGTCTGCTCCTAGTTGTCAGTTTGTCCCTTCTCACCTGTCAGGTAGGTCCAATCCATTTCAGCTCTGTCATTAATGTGGTTTTACGCATCTTTTCATTTGGGAATCTTATAAAAACCTGTAAAAAGAATCGTTATGTTCACATTTCCAAGGACACAGTATTCTCCAACACACCGAATTAATTCTGTGCCACAGGTTTTGAGCTCCGGAGTGTTTGAGCTGAAGCTGCAGGAGTTTCTCAACAAGAAGGGGATAGCGGGGAACGCCAACTGCTGCCCGGCTGGCTCTGCGCATCCGCAGGGCCACCAGCAGTGCGAGTGCAAGACTTTCTTTCGGGTCTGTCTGAAACATTATCAGGCAAACGTCTCCCCTGACCCCCCCTGCACCTACGGGGGAGCTGTGACTCCCGTCCTGGGCTCCAACTCCTTCCAGGTGCCGGAGACCAACGCCGACAGCTTCACCAACCCAATACGCTTTTCCTTCAGCTTCACGTGGCCTGTAAGTCACGAGAAACACCACATTGTGTTGTGGTTTTCCTCACCATCTCACACTGTACTGTAAATATGTAGAATATTTTAACTGACTTATAAGGTCATTTTTGTCATACTTGTGCCATTTCTGAGGAAAAGTTTGAAAATTATGAGCAGACAGTTAAATAATGTTGAAGAACACGCGCACGCACGCACACACACACACACACACACACACACACACACACACACACACACACACACACACACACACAAAACCCTAACAGATGCTCCCCAACTCAACACTTGGTAGGGTCTTTGTCAGCAGTGTGTGAGAGGGGCTATTGTAGTATTTCATTGCTCTTTGGTGGGATAAAACAGGGAGGGGAGGAGTGTGTGTGTGTGTGTGTGTGTGTGTGTGTGTGTGTGTGTGCGTGCGTGTGCGCGTGCGTGTGCGTGTGCGTGCGTGTGTAAGAAAAAAAAGAAAGGAGGGGTTCACCAAAAAGATTTTCCTCTCTGACCAGCAGTGGTGGGAAATATAACATCCTCTGAGTTGGCACATACTTGGCAGCACTGCGTGAAATTCAGCCTCATTTTGGGTTTTACGGTGGTGTCAGAGTGTGATAGTAGCAGGGGTGTGAAAAGGGAGCAGGTAGCCTTGACTTATTAGGCCTCTAATCAACAGGAGAATTAGGCTGTGAAGTTTACTGCAAGGCCTCCTAATGGCCCTCTCTGTGTGCAGAGTGGTGGGGGTGAGTGGGGAGGTAGAAGGACCTCCAAGCTGAGCAGCTGTTGACTCTCTCCATCTCTCTCCTCAGGGGACGTTTTCACTGATCATTGAGGCTCTGCACACCGAATCCCTGGACGACCTGACAACAGGTGGGTGACAGCAAGAGGAGCCACAAGTGTAACTCAAAGATGCACAAGACGACTAATGAGGGCCCGAGTTTCATACAGTCATCAGATCAGGACTACACGTCTTTAGAAATAAAACAAGGGTTTAATGCAAACTCTTAGTGCAAGAGCTGACATTTAATAGAGCCAAATGCAGTTTTTTTTATCCCAGGACTTTGCCATGCTTCTGCAGCGCATCACATTAAACTTATAATTAGGATACATTTACAGATTTTGGCCCATTTCTGAGATCTTTTTTGTTCCATCTCCTCATCACTTGCAACAGTGTGTGTGTGTGTGAGGATACTTGAGATTTAGTGACATTTGTTCCTAAAAGACACAAAAAAAATCCTTGTTTGAGCTAACAGAACAGCATCCAAACACTGTTTGTTGCAGCGTTGTGTTAAAAATGCCATCATGCATAGCCAAGTCTTCACACAGGTCTGAGCAAGGATAGAAAATGCATTTCACCAAAGCAGACACAGCAAAGTAATCCTAACAAACTTTTGGTTCACTTGCACAGACAACCCAGAGCGTTTAATCAGCAGGATCACCACTCAACGTCACCTCACTGTGGGAGAGGAATGGACCAAGGACATGCAGACAGGCGGCCGGACGGAGCTGCGCTTCTCCTACCGCTTCCTGTGTGATGAGCACTATTACGGCGACGGCTGCTCGGTTTTCTGCCGACCCAGGGACGACGCTTTTGGGCATTTTACCTGCGGCGAAAGAGGAGAGATCATTTGCAACTCTGGCTGGAAGGGCCAATACTGCACTGAGCGTGAGTCGCTTTGGTTATCAGTCCTCGAAAGTCTTTATTGAGCAACTTAAGGAATGAGAGATAAAAAGTAGGAATGTTCTTTCAGTTAAAGTCATGGTTAAACATTGTTTTCGGAGACAGCTGCTTGTCTGAAGGCATCATTAACAGTCTGTTGATGTTTATACATAGCACTAAGACTCAAAATACTCCATGATGCAATAATGTGTGTGTGTGTGTGTGTGTGGGGGGGGGGGGGGGGGGGGGGGGGGGGGTTGTGTCAGAGATAAGAGCCTCACCGTCTTCAGGAAATAGTTTTTTAATTGTCAGAACTACAGATTTGGAGGGTTTTCCGTTTCCACGCAGTTTATTCAACAACTTTCAAAGTTAATTTCCTCTACAGTCATTTGACTCTCTTTTATTGTTGGAGACTTTTTCCACCTCATAATGCGGGGCCCGTGTGCAACAGGCATCAGTTAGTTATCCCATAGCACCAGAGGCCTCCATTCTAATGAGCTGCAGTGGCTCCTCAGTAATTCACACGCCGCGTGCCTTCCATTAGACCACTGGGGCCTCCTCGCTCCAAACCTCCTTCCTGATTGGCCGAGTGTGGGTCCGGTATTGTTGAGGCTCGGGCTGGTGATTGGCCGAGTGGGGTTGTGTATTGTTGTGGAGGGGGCAGCTGCTCAGTGAGAGGAGACAATAGAGCAGCTGTCTGGTGGTTAGATCCTCACAGACCAGCTGGCCCTGGGGGGAAGAGGAGGAGGAGAGATGAAGAGTGGAAGAAGAAGAGATGAGGAGAAGGGGGGTAGGTGGACGGAAGAAAGGAAGGAAAAAAGAGGAGAGAGGGAATGGGTGAGAAAAGGGACTTCTGACCCCCCAGTCAAAGGTAAAAAGGAGGCTTTGTGTTGTTGAGCAACCATTAAAAGTACTTTTTGGTTCTGGTTCTTCAGTTCAGTGACCAAAACTGCTAAAGTTTGGCTTTTCAAACTGAAGGGTAACATTTCAGTAAAACTTGGGATGAGCTTTCAGGTGATCAAAACCCTAGAGATAATAAAAGAGCAGACAGACAGAAAAGTAAGCATGTCTGACAGACAAGAGGTCCATCAGACATGCAGAAAACACCCACATATGTTAGACAAGGGACACAGCGGGCTGAAAAGCTTATACAGTGACAGATGAAGAGCAAGTGTCTCGATTTTCCCATAACTCTTCCAACCTTATTTGTTTCCGTTTCACAGCAATCTGCCTCCCTGGGTGTGATGAAGAGCACGGCTACTGTGATAAACCCGGAGAGTGCAAGTAAGCCCAATAAAAGTTACTTTAATATGTCTCCATGAGCGTAACGGTCTTCCAACGTCTCATGTTTCCTTGTTTCTCTTAATAACCGAAGTGTTGTGTTCACAGGTGTCGCGTGGGCTTCAGTGGGCGTTACTGTGACGACTGCATCCGTTACCCGGGCTGCCTCCATGGCACCTGCCAACAACCCTGGCAGTGCAACTGCCAGGAGGGATGGGGGGGACTCTTCTGCAACCAAGGTGAGCGTTTTTTTTTTACTCACAAATTCGCCCCTTTTTTATATTTAATCCCTTTGTCTCATGAATGATGTTGTTGATGTGTCCAGATCTGAACTACTGTACACACCACAAGCCCTGCCTTAATGGCGCCACCTGCACCAACACCGGCCAGGGGAGCTACACCTGTTCGTGTCCACCTGGATACACAGGTGCTAACTGTGAGATCCAAGTCAGTGAATGTTCTGGAAATCCCTGTCGCAACGGAGGCAGCTGTGTTGTGAGTATCCAAAGTGGAACAGTGGTTTAAGTATTACCATGGCAACAAGCTTGTGTGTAACCGCTGTTCGCGCTGATGCCAACACAGGATAACGACGATAGCTACACCTGCACCTGTCCACCTGGTTTCTATGGCAACAACTGTGAGTTAAGCGCCAACACGTGCGCGGATGGACCTTGTCTCAATAGTGGACGTTGTGCGGACAACCCCGAAGGTGGCTACTTCTGTCAGTGCCCAATGGGATACGCTGGCTTCAACTGTGAGAAGAAAATCAACCACTGCACCTCGAACCCGTGTTTAAACGGTACAACACATTTCAATGTTGGTCACTACTCCTGCCTGTACAATTAAAGGGTAAGACTTTATCTTAACGCGGGTCCTTTCTGCAGGTGCAGAGTGTGTGGATCTGGTGAACTCCTACATGTGTGAGTGCCCAGAGGGATTTTCAGGTCCTAACTGCGAGGTTAGCAGCAGTCTTCCTGGATTATGTCAGTCCTTTCCTTGTCAGCATGGTGGAACCTGTCAGGAGGGAGTCGACGGCTACACATGCACTTGCCCCCCAGGTGTGACACCTCTTAACAGCTCTTTTGCTATTGTTTTATGAGGCTTGGTATAAGTTGTCCAGACTCTGATATTCCACATTCTTTGCAGGTTATACTGGCAAAAACTGCAGCACCCCGATCTCTCGCTGCCATCACAGCCCCTGCCACAATGGGGCTACCTGTCACGAACGAGCAGGTCGCTACGTGTGCGCCTGTGTGCCTGGCTACGGCGGCCGCAATTGCCAGTTCCTCCTCCCAGATGATCCTAGGGGCTCGCAGCCAGTTCCGGATGGACCAGATCGGCGATATTTGCCATCCGAAAGTGGAAGTAATGAAGACGAGCAGGATGATGACAACGGATTTCCTTGGACGGCTGTGTGTGCCGGTGTCTTCCTCGCTCTTGTTGTCTTGATCAGCTGCTCTGTGCTGGTAGTCTATGTTCGTGTCAAATTTCAAGACAGATACAGTCACAACAATGACAGCATTCACAGTGACAGCCAAGAGACCATGAACAACCTCACGACCAACAACTGTCTCCGGAGTGATAAGGAGCTTGGTGGTATGATGACAACGTCTATAAAGAACACTAACAAGAAAGCAGATTATCACTCAGACCTTGCTGGGTCACTCGGTGGTTTGAGCCTCAACGGATCAGAAAAAAACGGATTTAAGGCTCGTTATCCGAGTGTTGAGTACAATCTGGTCCACGAACTCCGGCCTGACGAGCTGCCGCCGTGTTCAGAGGAAGATCATAACGTGCAAGAGGCCAAGTGTGAAGTGCTGGATGACTCCAACGCAGACGAAGGATTCAGGAAGAGACAAAACAGGTACACAAATCTAAAAATAGGCATGAAATGTTACAAAATTGAAAAGTAATGGTAAACCTGAGCAGCCCTTGTAGTCAACCGTGTTGTTTGAGGGGTAGCATCTCTGACTGTTTTTTATCCCACAGTGATGCTTCAGAAAAAAAGCTCCCAGCAGAGTCAGCCGGCTGCAACGAAGCAAAGCATCAGTCATCCGTTGATTTAAACTGTCACACAGCGAGTGACCCTCAGCACCAGCCAGCCTGTGACATCAAATTCCAGTCAAGCGTTGATGCTGAATACCACAGTGCCAGCGACAGCCGGTACCCGTGCACCACCGACACCAAATACCAGTCCGTCTACGTCATTTCAGACCAGAAAGATGAATGTATCATTGCTACAGAGGTGAGTATGCAGTAACAGATGTATCCTCTCAGGGAACTCAGAGGTGAACCTTTTCATCAGCACTGGATAACAAATGTATTAAACTCTACTTCCTGTTTGTCTTACAGGTATGATATCAACTTGTTCTGGATGATGGTGCACACACACACATCATCCCTGAGCAAGTAGAGCTCAGATAGTTTCTGGGAGGTTTTACTCCTACTGTTTGCTGCTCTTCCCCGGGAGTTCCCAGAGGACTTTGAGCTGAGGTGCTGATGAGCCACTGCAGACTCTGTGCCTGCTCAGAGACAGCCGAGGACTACACTTACACTACGGGTCAATTCTGAATATTTCTGACCTTCAATGGACGTAGGTCTTTTAGTGACTTGATGCTATGGATGAAGCACTGTAGCAAGCTCTCCACAGACTTTGTACAGAAATGGTGCTGATCGAGAACTCACACAGTCAAAGACTGCCGGGGGACTGATGAAGAGCTCGTTTTAATGCCTCCTTGCAGCGCTGGAAGATTTACAGCTCATAACAGGATGAACTGTTTTCCCCTGATAAGCAGCGCAGGAATGACTTGGATGGTATTTTTTTGTACGGTGAGATGCCGGCTGAATGAACAGTGTAGTACCTTTAGGGTACCAAAAACCTTTAAAGTACTGCTGTAGTACTGTTATGTGCTGTGGTTTTACAACGCTGTGTAAAATCTGTCATGGATTTCAAATGTTTAATGTTCTGTGCAGTGCTGCAGAGAGGAGTTAAGTGTTGCTGTGTCAAGAAATCACTCAAAAGTGGAAGTGGAGCTTTTCTTGAAAGAGCCGCTAAACATTATAGTACAACTTGTCTAACAGCTGAAAACTTTGAACTCTACAGCACTGGCAGAGCTGGCTGAGCTGGTTCTCAGCAGGAAATAGAAAACTGAAAACTCCAGTAGTGACTGCAGATCAATCCAACATGGATTCTGTTGGGCCATAGTGGCCTCTGACCCCTGAAAGGTGGGCTAAACGGGAAGTTTTAGGCAGAGCAACCTATGAAACACTTGTGCTAATAATGAGAATGAGGGGAAAGATCAATTTTTAATTAAATCAGACAAAACAAACATGAATTTTAATGATTAAATTACCTGTTAATTTTGATGTTCTGTGTTAACGTAAACAGTTTCAGTCAAATCATTTATGCATCGTCTCAAAACAGACAGTTGGGCTTTTCTCCTGACCTCTTTATAATGTTTGACTAAGAAGACCAAGCTATAAAGTCTTAACTGCCAAGACCTCATTGCACTATAGAGGCGTGTGTATACGTGTGTGTGTGTGTGTGTGTGTGTGTGTGTACAGAGGAAGTAATGCCTATGTCTAGTGTCAATGTATGCACTGCCCACTCCTCCAGTCTTTCACTATTAGCCAATTCAAGAACACCATCACCCTGCCAGCTGTTGGTTAGGATCTTTTTATGTTTTAATTTTATTTGTTATCTAAAGAAAATGTATTCTTTTAATTTAAATATGTAATTATTCGTGTTCAGATTTTGTTGTGCTGTATTATGTTTTTGTTAAGCTTGTTCTAATTTATGTTGGATTGTTTTTATTTGGCAGATGATGTGTGTGTGTAAGTAAGTATGTCCGTATGCATGTATGTGTTAGGCACTTGAGACCACTGTGACTGTGTTGTATTTAAGAGAAGAGTCGTATGTACAGAGCCTGTCGTTTTTATTACTGGAAAAACAAATATTTTTCCACAATAAAAGAGGAATGAAATCTACCACGGTGAGCATTTAATCCTTTTCTTTATCATTTCTCAGCAGCAGATAAAGAATCTATTTCTATGGCAGAAATGCAGTTAAATAAGCTCCCTGCTTTATTTCACAGGACAAAAAAGCAGAAATGTAAACAGCTGCAGCCATTTTCTCCTTATTTATAGTTACAGCTCATATAAAAAGATGTTTAACAAATGAAAGAAAAGAGAATTGTTGTCACTAAGTGGTTGTATAATTCATGTTAGTGTGTGTGGGTGTGTGCGCACGTGCACGTGTGTGTGTGTGTGTGTGTGTGTCTGTCTGACACAGCAGAAGGCTGTCTCCTTGTGGAACCACTAAATGAGACAAAGACACACCCCATAATCATACGCCGCTTAGCTAGCCTCCTCTGAGGCCAGAGTCATTTCTGTGTGGATTTGTGTGTGAGTCCAAATGTGTGTGTATCTGGGCTTTAATGTGTTGGTGAATGAATCATTTTTTTTCTACAAACCTCTTTATTTGAGTGTAAGTTCATGTGTGTGATCTTGTTTAAGCAGAGGGGTACTTATAGCTGGAGATAGAAACCACCAGTCTGGATTTAGTTCCAGTTGCCCCTGCTTGACTATGCTCCTTGCTCCTTGTGTGTGTGTGTGTGTGTGTGCGCACGCGCACGTGCATGCATGTGTACTGTTTTGCAACCACAGAGCGTAGAATTAGTAATCAAAGAAACTCATCTGGTTTGCATTTTTATATAAACACACAGTGAAATTGGATGACAGATGATCAGAAATGTACAACAATTGGAAAGGATAAACTGTATTAAGTGTCAAGATTACACACACACACACACACACACACACACACACACACACACACACACACATATGAAAATATAGGGCTGCCTGATTGTGGTTAGTTCAGTAATGAAATAAAAACAGTCTTCACCAGTTACTGCAATGACACGTTCATTTGTTTATAGAGTCGTGTTTTTCACTGGCATGTGAAAGTTTTCTTCTGCTGTGAAGAATTTCAATTAGAGTGTGAACTGTTGTAAAAATACAGAGATTTTAGGTTTTCTCATAGCACTGAGCCTTTAGTCAGTGAAGGCAGACTTCTGAAAAGCAGCTGGATAAAGGTTTATAAAATGGTATTTGTATGCGTGGATATGATTTTATGACATTTTAAGATCAATCCATTTTTCTTGGTCTCTTTCAGACTTGCTAGTATTTCATTAATCGGTAATCATTAAAGCACTACTCTGGGATACTACAGTTTTCATTCAACCACTTTGCAACAGTTTTCACAAGATTGATGTCTTTTTTCACAACTGTAGACACAAAACACAAAACCAATGATCAAAATGCACATTTGTTTCTAAACTCTCCCCGTTTCTCAATTGCTTGGATGCCACACACATAAAACTTTGATCATTTGTTCATTAAACAACAATCACTGTCTGGTTCAGTTCGGCGCAACTTAACATCAAAGTACTACTATTTCAAAATGCAGCTCACCCATTACACTTCAAATGAGTGTCTATTCCTTTCCTTTCAATGATCTAACTATCAACTGATACAACTACTCAAAATGATAAGTAACTGTTGCAATACTCGCAATGCTGTATGGATAAAAACAAACATTCAATCAATATGTAATTTGCTGTCCAATTCTGCCAACTGGTTCCTGATGATTGGATGCTCATTGTGGAATGAGTATATAAAGAGGTGATTTGGAACCAGCAAGAGAGCCAGGTTACAATGGAGGTCAAGCAGTGGTGGGAGGAGAACAAAGAGGAAAACGTGTTGGTCAAAGGAATGGCAGAGGTGTGGACAAACCCGAAGGTGGCTGAGAGGTGGTCGAGAACCTGTGGCCAAATCTACAACACAGAGTTGAAGAGCATATAGAAGTTGCCATGAGCTGGGATGAGTACTCCTCTCAACATTCCACCTCTGAGCTGTGTGTTGCAGGAGAGGGAGGTTCCCAGCTGCATCTCGTTGGCAATCAGCGGGCCCGGCTTCTTAAGGAGAATGGAGAACACACCTTGATGCCTGATGATTACTACTGCTTGGTGGTTTCTAGCCTCCTAGTGTACTTGGGTTTGTGCTCTCGAGTTTCTTGGACTATTGTGAATTTTGGATTTTATGATTACCTGTCTCCAGGTTTTTGTAACGTCTCTGATTCAGCGACTGCTCAGGATTACTCACCCATGCTTCATAGGACTTCTGGACGCAGCTCTCAGCCGTTCTCCATTCCTCCTAACCGACCCGCTCTCCTGCCCTCCTCACGCTCCCTCTCCTGGACCCCCCACTTGGATACACCCCAGCTCTTGACCTGCCCTCCCTCATCCCGGTACTTCCCAATCTCCCAGTAAGTCTTTTCTCTGCACCCACCAAGTTAAGACTTACCTCCCTGGACTCACCTGTATCTGCTCTCCCCTCCCCAGACGCTGCGCTCCCATTTCTCAATCCTCGCTGGACTTACCGGTGCACCTTCAGTTCCCGTTTATAAATAAATATTAATTTTTACCATCAATCCGTGAATTGTTTTGATTCTGCATGTCTTGGGTTAGACCAGGAGTGGGGAACCCTGGTCCTCGAGGGCCGGTATCCTGCATGTCTTTGCTCCAACACTTCTGATTCAGTGGTTGGTTCACCTGTTCTGCAGCTCATTAAGCTCTACAGAAGCTTGTAAATCACCTGCTGACTGAAATCAAGTGTGATGATGCAGGGTTGAAACTAAAATATGCTGGATAGCAGCCCTTGATGGACCAGGGTTCCCCACCCCTGGGTTAGACATATTCCCCAGACCATGACAGAAGTAGAGTAATCACAGTTTTGTTTACAGTATTATAGTTCAAAATAGGAAGCTGAGTGTTGGGGATTTTATCAATATGTTTATCAATAATCCATTTCCTGTAGTCAAAGAGAAAAGGAGACAATGAGACAACAAGTCAACCAGTTATAACTGGGGCATATGCACGAGGCAAAATGCCCTGAACATCTGGTCACAGACTTTATTTAAACAGATAAGAATGGGAGTGAGGACATTGTGTGAGAGAGAGAGAGAGTCAGTGTGTGTGAGCAGGGGCGGCGTTAGGCCCGGCTACTTGGGCTCAAGCCCCGAATGTTTTATGAAAAGCCCCGGATCTCAAACGTGGAAGTAACATGCAGTACCAAAGTCCAACAGAGAGGGAGCAGCTGGCAGTAGTTTGTATACAGCCTGCCTGAGCCTCCACCGCTGAAGAAGAAGCCCTTCAGCAGCCGGCTTCTTCTACAGTCTCTGCCTGAAACGCAAGTGTGAAGATGGACATAAGGACGTTTTTTTTTTTTTTTTTTACAAAAAGTACCGTGACAGAACCCCAGCTTTGATGATACTGGTGTTGAATCAGGTTTGTGAGTCTTATTTGAAAATATTTGTTGTGCTGCTGGTTTGCCTAAAGTTAGCTTACTATCAGGTAAAGTTGTTGGGGAAAGAAAGGGAATATTTACTATCATCTCACACTAAACACTAAAAGGAACAATACTCTGACCTGAAAATGCTTAAAATGTAGCTTCAGGTTAAAAATTATGTGGTACAAGACAAATATATATGATGTTGACTAGTGTGTGTCAAATGTGTGTGTGTGCGCGTGTGTGTGTGTGCGTGTGTTAAGCCCCGGATCTTCTTCAGTCCTAAATCCGCCCCTGTGTATGAGTGAGACAAGAATGTGTGTGTGTGTGTGTGTGTGTGTGTGTGTGTGTGTGTGTGTGAATGAGAAGAACAGTGTGTGGGTGTGTCTGAGTGTGAGAATGCTTCAGGACATTTGTTAACAGGATTAAAGCAATGAGATGTCAAATTTCCATTAAAAAAATCCCTCCTGTTCATCCAAATAGGATAACCAAACAAAAGGAAAACAACAAAACAAAGAACAAATAAGTAAAATAATAAGTAAAACAATAAGAAATTCTACCCACTTCCATTACTTGTCACCATTACCTACGAATCATGACTCAAGGGACAGGGAAGGGGTAAAACCAGGAAAGGTGATCATATCAGTAGTCATAATGACCAATAGGGTACAAATCAAGCACAGCTGTTGAAGACTATAATTACTGTCTTTTGATCCAAGTGAACCTATGTTACAGTATGATTGCACTGTGGTGTGTTGGATCAATATATTTCAGAAATGATTTGATTCCACTCTCTCTGTAGTATTCTCTCTACTACTGCAGTATTTTACCAGATATTTGTGGACTGTACATGTAGTACCATATGTGATTTAGTTCTGCAACATGGAGTTGTAAGCTTGTATATTTGTTTAGATCTTTTTGTTTCTATTTCTAGTGTTGGCAAAGTAAGAATTTTATTGTGCAGAAAAACATTTTTCATACTTTTCACTTTACATACGACAATAAAAACTTAGAATCTTTGAATTGTGAAACCTGCATCACCTATTTTGCTGTACAATATTAAATGATTGTTTAAACAATGGCTTGTTGAAACTATGGGTTACCTGAGTGTCTAGATCTAGAGTTTTGTTTTATTGGTATTTCACAGTAAATTAGTTTTTTGAACCAGTGTTTGTGTAAGTGCAAACATGTGAATGCACAATGCAGTGTTTTGAACACCGGACAGCCTGCGTTACAAGCGATGACCGTTATGAGTTTTGTGTCTAGAGCTGTAAAAAAAGACATCAGTGTTGTCAAAAATGTTGCAAAGTGATTGAAAATAAATTGTAATATGGACGGGGTAACCTTTTTACAGAAAACAAAAGATCTCGACTAAGTGAGTAACTGTTTCAGAGGATTGCGCAGACATCACAATGGTACAGATTTTGTTTGTTTTTTTCCTTGAAGTCAACATGAAGCCAGTTTCTTGTGTTGAGGATCAGCAGGTCCACACTCTAGTGTATACTACCACATGGTTGCCACTGATTCCAATCTTGATTCTTGTCTCTCCAGGTCCAGGCTCACAAGAAGCTGGCACCCAGGTACCTGACCAAACCCCAGAAAGCTCAGTCACCAGGTGCTCAACTCATGTGTTAAGC